CGTGGAAATCAATAAGTAATTCCATACATATTTTATTTAATTCTAGAAACCATTTCCGAAACCTCATCGGATATGAATTTCCACCTCTACTGCCAGCGATCGAGAAGAATTTGAGGAATAACTTGTTCAGATTTGATCGACAAATTGAAAGGAAATTCGGCGATTAATTACCTCGAATAGTCGTCTATAAACGCGTTGAAGAGATCTCAGCGTGTGTTTCGCTTTCTTTGATAAAGAGATGCGCATTGCGAAAACAACGAAGAGCTCAGTGATGACAAAGTGTTGGGAGACAATAGCCGCGAACAAAAGCAACGAGAAAAACTTCGCAGTTGATCATCGTCTCAAGCTCTTAAACAGAATTTTAAACAGAAGGCGCGAGCGGAATACCTGAACCTGTCTCATTCTACTTCGTCGCAATGGTCTTATTTTTTACGTTCAGCGGAATGAATGAAAAGCACAAAGCCACAGAGCCAGCGAGGGAGATCTCGGATAGTTACGGGTCACGTCTTCCAGTGATCGGTAACGAAGGAGCTTGGCCGCTCACGAAAATTCGACCTGCTCGAGGAATTATGCGGCAAACTTCCCGCTTTTATTCCCCAAAGTGCCGGAATCCTATTCTGAACGTAATCCTCGTTGCAGAAAGGAGTTTAACGAATGTGGTGTTTCATCGAAGTTCGATATAAGAAAGTAATCCTTCGTTTACGCAAATATAGATTAATTATCTTTTTTTAGTAGAAAAGTTTAAACAAATTCTCCTTGTGATATTCCTTTCAATCGTTCGTATTATATATCCATTTATATATCTATTTGAAGAATTTAATAAAATACTGAAACGCTGAATAAAGGTTAATAATATATGCTGAATAAAATATGTTACGGTATAAAATTCAATGAGCGGTAATTGACTCTAAGTGAAATATTGACGAAACTATCGTCAAGCACAAGCTTTGCCAAAATACATCTTTAGAAATTCAATATTGCCTTCTGAAATCTACCTATGAAGTGTCTTCATAAATTCATAGTCAGATAAAACTGAAGTTTAATATCTTCATATTTTCTATCACATTGAATGTGAAAATCAAATCAAATAATAAATAATTAAAAAATCAATAATAAATAAAATCAAATATAATCAATAATAAATAAATTAATAATAAATCAATAATAAATCAATAATAAATAAAAATCAAATAATAAATTAAAAAAAAATAATAATAAAATCAAATAATAAAATTAAATATTATTCAATAAAATGCAATGAGTTTAATGTTATAAGAGTATTTAAACAAAATCATTGCGAGTAAAAGCATATATGCGTCGATTAAACGATGCAGATATGAACAAATATACGAGTGATGACAATGAAAATATTGCGCGATTAATAAATATCACGCGAAGAGCTGCATCTTAACACCATGATTTTCGATAATGGACTAATCCCCCGCGCAACAGGTTCGCGTCGCGAACGAATTTAGTGGCGTCGGGACCCGAACGTGCACGAATAGAATTCGGTTTTTTCGTGAAAAAATAGTTATCTCCTTCGAAAATGCTTTTTAACAACGAGCATATCATATATCATACATCATGTACATTTAAAATTTAATTCTATTAAATCAATCATTTCATTTGATTATGCCGAACCAAAATTGTACAAAATGCAATTTTACAAAAATTTTCTTACAGACATGAAAATTCTCTACGACGGATACTCAATTATTTTCATTGATTCTATCAAGTGGCTGAATATAGAGTATCTCAAATGTCACTAGGCCTCCTTTTTAATAATAGTTTTGTATAGGCAAAGTTATTTTGTTCGATAAACTTCAAATTTCGGACCATGGAAGAACGAAATTAGAGAGAACTTTGAAAGAAAGTTTCATAAGACAACGTTTGTATGACGATTTAATATCATTAGAATTTTTTCGCGCGAGGTTACTTGAAATCTAAGATTTCGACAGCGTATTAGCGCTGAATAAAACTATTTTGTTGTCTTAACCTGTTCCCATTAGTGTTCAAGATAGACAGTAACTTTTGAGACATCCTGTATATACGACATGATTAATAATTCTTTTAATCAATACTCACCGCGTTAAACCTTAGATTTTAAATGATGCGAAAACAAGTAGTGATTGTAGTCTTCATTTAACAATTTCTGAGTGACACTTCTTCCTGCACTTCCCGCCAAAAACTGATACTTTACGTAGCAACTGCATCTTAATGCTTAATTGATCGAGCGCGAAAAATATCGATTACGTTCGAGAATCGCACATTTTATAATTACTTACTTCACCGTTTTGTTGGCGCTGTGATCTTTACTTAAGTTACTTAAGATCATTGTTTGTGTGTATTGCATTGTCTAACTTGGAACAAAAAAGTGAGATTCCTTTCTCCACTCTTTATCATCCATTTCGACAAAACAAAGTGCAACTTTAGTATGGTAAATATGTACGTTACTTTAGTGAATTTGACAGTGCGTAATGAAGTAATGTTTCTCTATATCTAAGTGATTTCATTCTTCAAAATAAATTTTCGTTACAGTCAACAAGATCTTTCTGTTACAGATTGTTTAAAATAATAAGAATTATAACTATTGGCTATTGTCTTTGACGATTAGGTTGAATATATACACAAACAAGGTTGAATATATACACAAACATCATATATATATATGATATATATAATTCTATGTTCATCTTATAGTAAATCGCAGAGGGCGTGTGAAACAGCTTGATTTTTTTTCGACGTCGGTATTTCAGAACGTAAGATATTTTATGGACTGATGTCCATTTCACTAGATAAAAGCTGTGAATATATGTATAAAGTTATAAGTATATATATATAATTCTCCTTCTATGCCTATAACTCTCGTGGGAACTAATATTCCTGTTTTTATTACAGTCGTTTATTGATGAGAATATATTGGACGTAATGGACAATTTCACGAGATTTTAAATAATGAAGACAGATTTGAGTGGGAAAGCTTCATAGTGGACAGCGAAGTTAACATTAACGCCAACGAGTTATTAATTACGAATCACAGTGGCATAATATCGCAGCAAGGGGGTTATTGTTTAGCATTGAGGCCGGCGCCGTCGCGGCGTCCTGACGATATCACGAAAGCACTTTGCACGCACCTTTCTCGCTGTTTGAGATATCTACGGGATACTGATAGTGTCGTGACCACTACGTTCCCTCGTTTCGTATGCAGGCTTTACATGTTCCTGTCTCTACATCATCCTACACGTCCATTTGTACACGTACTCGCACCATTTCCTATCTCTCATTCTTTCGCTCGAGTACACTTCAAAGAGGAACGCTTCCTGACCGATTGTTCCACGCGAGTTTTTATCGGTCAGTTCGGAAAAGCGTCGACCGTGATCCTGGCGTGCAAAATAACCCGTTTGAGCGGAATTGGAACAGAGATATGTGTACATGCGGATGTTACAATGATCCCAGTAGATCGTTAGCTTTTATTTCATTTCAAGCAGTTTCTATCATCAGTTTAGGGCTGCAGCGAAATGAAAATGAAATTACAAAGAAGTGATGGTAAAGGAATGTTTAAAAGAGGTTACCAAAAACTTTCAATTCTGGAAGGAGGGAATCTTCGATAGTATTAAGAAAGTATTAAGAATAGTAGTAAGAAATTTAAGATTAACAAAATTTGATTTAATTGATAGTTTTAATTTTTAGTACTTACGAATACAGAATCAGCAAGGATGTCTTTTTTAATAATAAACAGCACGTATCACAGAGCCAAACAATTTTTCTTCGAGTTTATTAGATCTTCTCCCAGGTATGCTTGTTCACTTATGCATAGCTACGCTCTAAAGGAAAGAATATCCTAAATCCCAAGGAAATCCTCTTTTTACGACCACATCAAATGGTAGAAATATAGTCTTCGGGCACGTTCTCCTTCGATAAAAGAAACTTGACTCTCATTGGTAGAAACATCTTTTCACTTCTACTAGCTAAAATATAATATTATGACAATAATCTCTACTACAACATACAGTCATCTTTATCATATTTTTAGGTAAATGAAACCAAACGTCATCATCCAAGTGCGTATTTTACATGCGAGCTTTAGAACATCAAATTCAGCGCATATTTTTTTCACGACGAATAAGCTCATCTTACTGGAGTAATTTGCCAGTTTCTCAGAATTGTGCAAACAGTTTCGTTATTTTTACGATCCATTTCATCGTCGGGGATGCATCTTCCTAAATCGTCAGCACGACTCGTATTCTAGGTTGCTCAGCCAGGCGAGTTGAATACGATCGTATTCGAGAGAAGTGCCATTATGCGACGACAATGCAGTAATCAAGCTTGGTCTCTCTGCCTTGCAAAAAAGGATTGCTTCCTTGACTTTTGCCCACGGGCGTCGCCTTCCTCGCCGCGGCGTCAGCCCTCGAATACTTTAACGCCTTGACGGTCTGTTGAACCTCGGAGAGCACACTCGAAAAAAGCGTTAATTGCACGGATAAGAAACCAAGTACGCCAATTGAAACATCCTTCAGATTTTTCTACGTTTTTTTTTTTTTCTTTTTTAATCTTAATTTACTGAATTTAAAAGCACGACGGAAGATTATCGACGAAAGTTATTTTAGCTTGAAATAGTAGAAGTAGCTTGACAGATTTGTTATGGGAAGTGAAACTTACTATAGTTTCGTACCATTTGAAATTTCAATGTATTGTAATTTGATCAGTATTAATCAAATTTAATTGCTCCGCGATGCATGTGAAACACATTTGTTCTAATTGCTTGTTTCAATTGGCACAATTCGTAATGAACAAGTGTACATCGTTGCGTACAACATATGATTTTTAATCTCGTTCTTTTGTTACGGTTAAATTATTAACGTGTAAATTTCCATTTTTTCGACTAAAGAAATCTCTCTTTGTTTCTGGATCTTTGTATCAAAACGATGCAATTATAAATAAGATAACTCGTGATTTCTGGAATTGTCTGACTGCATTCTATATCCATTGCGTGAATTTCTATGATTTATCAAATTGCACGTTTGTCGTGTTTACAAAAGAGAAACGATATTAGTATTTAATTTATAATTACCGGCACGCAAGAAGCGTATCTCCGTTTAATTAAAATCGTGGCTGCACTCAGATTAATATTGCGTGGGAGGGCTAAACTCGTTGTGCAACCGCGAACCGCAGAAACTGCGTGTAGAATGCATAACCGAGATATACAGCTGTGTGCCAAAAACGTTCGCCGAATCCCTCTAATGTTTAAAACATTTCATATAATTCGTCTTTGAAGAAGATATTATCGGCACAATATTGTAAATTGTAATTTCCACAACTTTTTCCTTCGAGATAGCGATGGCTATTTTTAATTTTAGAAATAGCACAATTTCCAACTTATCTGTCAGAAACAGTGTACAGAGAGGGAGAGATTGTTGAAAATACACGGATGAGCCGCTCTTGTGCGTATTTGTGCGTAATTAAGCTTGTCACGCAGGTAGCTTTCAGCGAAATTAACTTCACAGCCGGCTGCAGATATTAACAAATGGAATCGTAAAATGTAAATACAAGCAGCACCTGCGGCACAATCACGAAAACCAGACCGAATCGCTTCGTCATGCGGATAGCCGATAGGAGGTTGGGAACACAACGAATGATATATTTGGTTAGAGTGTAGGGGTTGAATTACGGCTAGCTCGCGGGATCTGTATCCGTCGTTGGGTCTCGAAAGCGATTTATCGGTGAAAATTCAATATCTGATTGCATCGTCTTGGTTAAATAATTCATACGTAGGAATTTCGTAGACTGGGCGCAGCTTCATATTCTGAGCCGATTTCGACTTTTAAATTCTCTCCCTTATGAATTTCGATCATTCGACTAGAAAATTTCTCCATAAATTTTATATTCTGCGTTTTGTCTTTATGACTTTATGACAAGAGGAAGTTCTTTGCTTAACTAATGAGCCTCTAACGCTAACGGACCTTGCATTCATTTTCTTTTTTACTTACAGACTTAACTGACAGAGGAACAAAAAAATTCGGCGACGACTGCGTGGAAGATCGTGAATGCGGTTTCAGTGGTTCTTACTGCGAACCAAAGAAGAGCAAATGCGCGTGCAGGGAGGAATTCGAGGCGACGAATCATATCGACAAATGTGGCCACCGTAAGTTAGTATATTTTCAAGTGTGTCGGGAAAGTGCATCCAGACATTTTGTAAGTGTTCATCTGCGATAATGTTAGCCCCAAGTTGAAATCATCTGAATCGTTGAATTTTAACTCTAGAGTTTGCGATTCTTTTCGATTTAATTGTACTGTTCTAGCATGTATATAAACATCGTATATAATCACGTATGAATCAAGAGGCAATTAAAAGATACGGAATGAACAGTAACGACAATGACAAGAATGTCGACGATGAAGATGATTCGTAAAATATATTACAGGAAGAAAACAAGAAGTTTTTCCAGTCGAATCACGTTCAGAGGAGTGAACCTTCCCTTTTATTAAGAGCGAGTTTTACGATTGGAATGGTATGAATGTCTGGGGATGGTTGCTTATGGCCTTCTCTCGTAGAATACAAACAGGACACCGCGCTTTTATTGGTCTCGGGTGTTAGAAGCATCGCGAGAAATTGAAAGCAGGAACGGCGAATTCAGTGGCCCAGATTATGTCGCTTCGGTTTGCACGTTTCTAATTGAATCCCTTTGCAAACGTTGCACTATCGTTCTAACTGCACTTCACATGCGACGAAATGAAATATTAATGAGACGTCGCATCGTAATTACACGAATTATAATTAATCGATTGATATTGGATTATAACATGTATCTGTCCTTGGGACATATAATATTTTTCAGATCAATCACAAACTCCACAAAATTGTGCAACCTCCGTTATCGAAGGTACTTACAATCAGATTCAGTCGAATCGATTTCACATTTCCTCCCAATAAATGTCCGTGACACTTAGAGAAGATCAATTTTGTTATCAGTCTCCACTGAAGTTCAACTGGAACGAGGGATGAACGAAAGCATACTTTTGTCAGGATTAAAGCACTATGGCTGTTAATCCACTCTCCTAATTGCGAGCCTGTGGCCAATATATCGAGGGCAGTGCGGCGAATAATCAGTCGATTAGATTCGCCACATTAACCTCTGGATCTACACTGTCCTCCACAAATATGCTAACAAGCAAATAAATCCTTCTTACATCCGTGAACGATCGCTATTGATTCCCGGACGCATTTCAATCTAATCGAACTTGAATACACAAATTGGATAATGCTGATTTTATAAAGTGACCGCACGATGATGGACAGCTGCTTAGAAATAATAATAGGGCATCAGGTCATCGACTGACACATCGACAATAGACAATAGTCTCACAGACAATAGTCGAAACACGTCACGTTTATAATCTGTCTATGAACTAAGAGTTAAAAGAGGAAAAACGATCGACTTTATTCGCGCTTTAATTTACAAGTTTATATCGTTTAATATGTATCTATAGATATGGAAGGAAAGTAGGATAAAGTAATCTAGCTCAAGTTTCAAACGGCTGGATCGAAGTCTGACTGGGAATCTAAGGCAAATCGACGAATGATTACTTTAACAAACTTTCTTCTTTCGGTACAAAATAGGAATAATAACAAGGGGAAAGGAGGTGTTGAAATATTTGTACAAATAGGTAAAATTATACACGGAAGTTTTAGCTTTTAATGACTTGTATATTGGATATGTGTCAGTTACGATAAAAGGCAAAAAAACCGTGAGAAGTTAAACTACTTCTTCGGCTCCGAAGTTAGCAAAATAGCTTGTCATACCATTCAAAGCAAATACGTTTTTGAGCATTACCAGCACATCGAGAAAGTTTCGACAACCTCCTCCAGCCACTCATTTTTGATACATGTATATTTGCTTTTGTTCCCTTTTAAATTCTGCATATCAGTGGCTTGCTAGAAGAACGATGCAGTGAAGAAAAGGAAAGCAAACTTTTTTAAAAGCTACTCTACAATAAAACGACTGAGATAACATCGATCATTTGGAAATGATAAATTTTTCTCTTTTTGTCCCAAAATTAAAAATTCTTTAAATATTCTATAAGCATTAAAAAAAAAAAAAAAAAAGAAAACACGGGAAACGTAGAATAACTTGTATGAGAGCATCTTTTCAGAGAGGGACGTTATGTATTTTAAGAGTAATATTTAAGAGTAATATTTTTATCTGTAATATTTAAGAGTAATATTTTTATCTGTAATATTTAAGAGTAATATTATTCTCATATTTAAGAGTAATATTTCATATTAAAATATTCGTCGAGAAACGAGGAACCAGCCTGTCGTTAATGGTTTTTGTTTTTAGCGGTGAACGTGAACGAGTCGTGCTTCTTCCACGAACAATGCGAGGCGAGGGTGAGACAAACGGAGTGCAGGGACGGACGTTGCATTTGCATCTTCGAGAAGATCCCGGTTACCCAGCCTGATGGCGCGATTGTGTGCGTCGGTAAGAGCAGAAACACAGGAAGGAACAGCAACGGCGAGGGGAGTGGAGATCTGCGAGTTTCCGCGTACTTTTTAATGAGATTCTACTCGCGACGACAACTACCCGTCCTGAGTTAATGGAATTCCGGCCTAAAATCCAGCAGGGTTCATTAATTCGTCAGCTGTTTTCGCGCGATCAATTAACAGAGCGCAGAGGAAATTTTATCACGACGGAATATACTGGCTTCCGCCGGTAGAAATTAAAAAAAGCGTTGTCACTTCGGTATTTTTCCGCGCTTTTATTTTCGCTGTAAATTAAATTGGACGCGTTGGAGCTTAACTGGAAAAGAGAAGAGAAAAGAGTCGCGATCCACGAGGTCATAAAACATACGCTGCTAACTTAAATATCGCGAACCACCTCTGGTATCTTTCGCACCAGATAATTAATTTTAGTAGATCGAGGGAAGTTATAGAACGGGTAGGTTATAGATTTTTCCTTTTGTTTGTAAAAAGCGACTAAAACGAGATATCTGTCTTTATGAAAACAAAGGTACTTTCAGGTGAATATTGAAGTGGATTGGTCACGTAGTATATAAAGAATATTTAACTTTAACTTGTGAAAAGATACGTCCCAGTTGACTACACAAACTTTATATGAATCGTAAAAGAAATAGATCAAGAGATTGTTCGATCTCGTCGTAACTCTTTTTCTCTTCGAAGTTGCCCAAGTTTCATTGAAACGAACGTTGAATTAATCTCGTTGAGGATATAATGAAACGTCATTTGAAAACAGAAGGTATTAAATGAAAATTAGCTACAGTGGATGGAATGGAACGATGTGAAAAGCAGGGAGATTGTTAGGGAAAGGTTATTAAACGAATGAAATATCTTTCTTTTCAGCCGAGCAGAAAGAGGAACCCAATCTCCAATATATCGATCCTACGATGATCGGTGTTCTCGTTGGTATGGCTCTCATGTTCATCATCATCTGCGTCGTTCTTAGGCTTTTCAGCAAGTAAGCCATCTATTTGCATATCTTGTGATGCACGGTGACTCTCGTCCTTACCAATTCTAGCAAGACTTTACGACCTACTTCAACCGCTCGCAGTCATGCTTGAAAATGAGTCCGCCATGTCGCATGCTTAATGCAGATTTAATATATGTATATATATATTTTTTTTTATTCAAATGAAATCAAGAAGATTTTTCACAAATGCATAAACGTTTGCAGTTTATATACAAAGTGTCATAAATTTTCTTTGCTTCTTTTTTTTTCTTTTTAAGTTTCGAACGATGTTGCTTAATGTGTAACGGATTATAAATAGTCACCCAATTTCTATTGCAATTGTTTGCAGGGCTCGCTGGCGTGAGAACCGCACCATATTCAACACGCCGAATGCCCGTCTGATGAACGTGTCGTTACTGAGGGAAAACAAACTGCTGCACCCGCAGGAGAGACGCGGTTCAAGGGCAAGCGTACGGGTTCCTTCGAGGCAGCCCTCAATGGCCTCCTTACGCGCCCATTCGCCGAACGCCTCGCAAGGTGCGAAACACTCTCAGCACTCACAGCACAGAGTGAGCCGTACGGGTTTTTATTCATTCACTTACTAAGCAAGCAACTTGTTATACAGTGTCCCGTTGAAACGAAGCGAGCGACTCTTTTGCGCGCCAGTTTTATATCGGGTGTTCGATGGAAATCGAGACGCCTCGACGTTCGTGCAGCCTAATCATCCCCTCCCCCACCCCAGTTTTAGAGAGAATAAGATAAACCGTGCGGGGAATACCCATACGCACGACGGAAAGCCAGCCGTTTCCTTTGCCGTTTTTTCTCGTTGCTTCTATTTTTCTCGTTACGTTCTATTTTTATTTTTCTGTTTTCACTCGTTCGTTCAATTGCTCGATGATAGTTTTAGACGCGCGGGTTAAAGGACCCCGCGTTTGCTGTGTTGCCGAACGACCGTGTTTCAAAACTGTCTTATCTGTGACTATAGTCGGCGGTGCTTCATGCTTTCGCAGAGGTACCGTCTGTCTGTTGCGTGAAATATTCAAGGTAAATCCACATGTTCGTGAAAATACACGTGTAGAACCAGTTGTTTAGCAAGCACCTCATACTCACGAACGGGCCTTCAGTTTTTAAAAAATGCAACGACCACGTCAGGTGGTGTGTATAGTATAGAAACGATCACATTGTTTTCCTTTTTTTTTTTTTTTTTTTTTTTTTCTTCCAATATTCACGATTTCGCGACTTCACGCCTCTCCTTTTCTTCTTCTTCTTTCTTTCTTCTCTTTTCCGTTTTATTACATTTTCCCGTTTTTCTCTTTTCAGTTCATTCAGCCAGGAACAAAACGAACGGTAATCACTTTGATTCTGGACAGGTTCTTGTTCCCAAATTATCTCGCAGGTTGTTGTTTCCAAATTATCCCGATTTTATAGTTCGCAGCTAAATCCAATTTACTGAGAGAAGGGGTAGAACGTTCCTCGAGCTAATCAGTTAGCGCCCAAAAATAGCTATCTTCCAGTATATCGATTTCCGTAGAACATCCCATATATGTATAATATAGATACGAGTATTATAAAGTAGGTGACTACCTACTCTGTTGCCTATTCTATTCTTTATCTTAGAATACTTCTATCAAGCTCAGAATCCTTCAGAAATTCTCGCATGCACAATTGCCTGCCAAGAGGGTAGATATTTGTTGGTTTTATTTTCTATTCGAGAGTGCATCGAGGCCGATGTTTTACAATTTCGGATGCATCGTTTTCAATAAGAACACACACGACGAAGTCATTTCCTGAAAATTTCCCATCGTCTGCAAATGTTGTGGTAAAAGTACGAAAATCGTATACATCTTTTATATACGACGTATTTCAACGTTATAGATACTTTTCGATTTCGACGAAATCATGGGACAATTGTTAAGTGAATTGCATCAAAACTCGTAAGTGAACTCGAGCACTTTCTCAAGTTTCAAATGTTCACATTATCGATTTAGTTAAATTGCTTAAAAAGAAAATAATTGCAAACGCAAGTCAAGGGGTTAAGCTGTTCGAAAGATTATCGAAGAATCATTAAAAAAAGAAAAAAAAAAAAAAA